TTTCATCCGCAGCAAATGCGCCCAACTTCAGCTAATCCCGACTCAGAGAACGAAACCGAAATTTTGCGGAGAACTTGCGTCGCTACAAAGATGCTGTCTGTATATGCAAAATGGAAAGGAGCATCATATTTAAGGACGACGCTGCAAAAAGTTCTCGAGAGGCTCATGCTGACATCGAACGACCTAGACTTAGAACTAGACCCAGCCAGGGTGAGCACTCCCGGCGAATTGCAAAAGAATGCTGCGCAACTTCAGATCGTGGCTAAGGTGTTTATGGACGACATATGCGCTTCAACATCAAATGTTCCGAGCTCATTTCGAAGGATATGCAGCATCGTGAGTACTGACCTCTAGAAGACTAGTAACACAACAAGCCGGTGCACGATGACTTATGCCAGCTTGTAGATATCTGATGCTGTTCTTCCTCGCTTTCCCAATGCAAAGTATACTGCCGTGGGAGCTTTTGTATTCCTCCGCTTTTTCTGTCCTGCCATTGTAGCACCCGAAGCTGAAGGCCTCGTGTCAGTGGCACCGACCAAGGAAATGAGACGGGGACTGTTACTCATCGCAAAAATCATCCAAAACCTGGCCAATAACGTTCTTTTTGGAACAAAAGAGCCTTACATGTTTCCCTTGAACCCCTTCCTTGTCCAGAACATACATTTGGTCACTGGATTCCTGCGGGACATCTCCGTAAGAAAATTATTGCGTGTCTTGCGATATGTGTCAACTGTTCTAACATTTTTGTAGGTGTCCACGAGGCAGGCTGATGTAGCTCCCCCGGCGATTGACATGTTTGACTTCGGCTCATGCGTATCACTGCACCGATTTCTGTATGATCACTGGGATCATTTGCGTCAGACCCTTGTTTCAAGAGAAAGGAAAGAACATCTACGAACCCCGGTGGAGATTGCCCGGACACCACCGTCAGTCTTTGAACCACTCCGGGATCTCATCAGCAATCTCGGGCCGCCGCCCCTTGCAATCTCTTGGAATAGGCCTCAGATATCCTGCAATACGCCGCCTTTGTACTCAAGATTTCAAAACTTCATGTTACGAAATGCTTTTAGAAGTGCGGAGTCTTTTTTGACCTCTCGGGCGGTGTATGACGGCGGTGAAAGCAAGGTATTCACCGTCCTCTCCAACTCCTGGAGCTTCTTCTGCTCATCAGCGGTTTAGGACGGTCTTTCTATAGTGTGCGTTATATTACGGCATATCGAAAACGAAAGCATCGATTATGATACACTTTTATATTGTTATCTAAAAGTAAGTCGCTTCCATTGCTGCATATAAGAGAAGCTCATCGTGCATATTTTGACCATGGCGTTACTGTGCTAACATCAATCTCAGATAGCCAGCCGACTCTGGCACGAGCCATTCGGGCTGTTCATTGATGCAACGTGTTATAATGGACGAAGCGAGCCTTCCGATGAGTTTTTTTCCAAGCTAGATCTCCTAACACCTTCCGAGCTGTCTCGAAACCTTTCCCGAATATACATATACAACATGAATAGCGCTTTCAAGTAAGTATATACTGCCTTTACCAGCCCACTTGACAGTCAGTTTCTAATTCTGTTTTATTGTAGGAGGTGTTTCCGGCGACTCCTTCGCAACTCTACTCGCGACGATTCGAGTGTCTTTCATCCGGATAATGTAGAATACTACTTGATCGGAAGTTTACAGGATCTGCAGGTCCATTTCCATTTGAGTCAACTCCATCTTCCCAAAGAAACTATAAGCGTGGTCACAGAAACCCGATACATGTTTCAGACCATCACAAGATTATCAAAGTCCAAAGGGAAAGTTGAGGTCGTGATCAAAGTTGGCAGCCAATTTCTTCAAATAACCACCGTTAAGAAGCAAGAAGTACTATCTGGTCTTCGCCTTAGCAGTGTCATCAATGATATTTTCCGCCTTAGTGACATAGAAGAAGCCTCAACCCCACAAGCAGAGGACGATTCTAACTTTGGACTGAGAGCTGATGGGGGTAAGATTGTCATGTTCTTTACCAGCTCCAAGAGAGCGGACATTCTTCAGACTATTCGTGGAGCCAAGACAATACACGGCAAGGACAGCAGAATGGTAAAACCCGTTGAAAGGCTCGTCAGACCACAAGATGTCCCAGGGACCATGCTCAATTTGGCACTTACCAACCTGTCAAGCCCATATCATGTCCTTCGGTTAGCCTCTTATAACCTCCTCGGAGCATTGTGCCGATCTTTCGACTTCGGTGTTTCCGGGCGACTGGTTTGCAATCGAGGTAACACGAGCTAGCCATCATTCGCTTGTCTTCCATATACATACTTACGTGCCTGATAGATTTGGCTGTTCCTCTTGAGCCGACACGATTTATCGTAGATATCAGTCGAGAATTAGCTCAAGCCGAACCCCAACTCACATCGGACTTCCTGACCGAGTTTTTTGTAAGCTGGGATAGTATTCCTGACGAACAAAAACCCCTTAGCTTGGAATATGTGGCGCCTTGGCTTCCCGGCCTTCGCACAGCAGTTCTAGTTGTTGAGGTAGACGGGGACAAAGGACGAGACAAAGTTGCATCCCTTCTACGAAAGCTGATAGACATATCTGTGTTGGACCAAAACTTGACATATTGTCTGGAAAAATACATCTGGCCATGTATTGCACAAGATGAGCTGCTCCTTGAAATTTTTACGGATGAGCTTATCAAGGCCGCGCTTAGTTACGGAAACGGGGCAGACACTTTAGAAATACTGTCTTCGGTCATGGTTGGACTTGGCACTGTTACCTTGCGGGCTAGAATCATTTCTCGCCTCCGCAAGGCTCTTAACAGGTCATCGCTACGCCCGACTCGCTTACTCCAGGACAATTCTGTCTGGGAAGAAATCTGCATCCTGCTTCAATTTTGCCTAGGCTTGTCTTTTGACAGTCGAGTGCAATCCCAAATGTTTCTTCCAGAAATTTTCCACGTCGTCACAATGTTGGCTAACACCGGGGGAAGCGAGGTACGATTGCTTGTTTACAAATTGCTGATTAACTCAATTCATGCAATATGCGCTTCATTCAGTATAGATGACGCAAAACTGGTCCGGCTGCGATCAATTTTGGACGTCTTTGGCGACACCAGAGGAGACATTTTCACTGCTCCAACGTTGTTGGCAAGGGACGGGGCCTCAGTGTCGACGTCTTTTGACTCAGGCCCAGCTCTGGCCTCAACGGAGAATCTTACGTCTGTATTGTTTGAGGTCTGCTTGATAGCCGCTCCGTCAATGGATATTGCCAACGCCTGGCGTGCTCGATGGATGAGTCTCGTGGCTAGTACAGCATTCCAAAACAACCCTGCAGTTCAGCCAAGGGCATTTGCAGTAATGGGATATCTGGCAAGGGAAGAAGTGGACGATGATCTACTATACCAAGTCCTGGTAGCCCTCCGAAATAGCGTTAGCCAGTTTGGTGAGGATGGAAATAGTGAAATGCTAGTTTCCATTATTACATCCTTGTCCAAGATGATGGCCAAGTTACCATCCTCCTCGAGATATGGCCTTCAATTGTTCTGGTTGGCTATGTCACTTGTGCGTCTTGTACCAGCTGCCATCTTCAACTGCGCAGCGCAATTTCTGGGTGCCATTTTGACGAACATTGGCACAATTGGCAATGTGAGAGGAGATAGAATGGTCCCTCTCCTCCTTCAATGTCGAGGCCAGTTAGAAGATGCCGCTTTGCCATTGGATGATGCCTACGGGATTCGTTTTGAAGAAGATACCTTCCACTTTGCGGTTTGTGCCTGTCTCGTCCGAGGTCTCACAGACACAGCAACCAGACCAACCGCAATTCAGGTTCTGTCTTCATTCTTAGAGATGACATCTCGATCTGAGGATCCCGCCCCAGGCAGTCCGAATCATGCCATTCATGGGTCCCCTTACCTGGCTCTCCTGCTAGCCCGTGGCATGCAGGAAGATTTCATGGACAGCTTGTGGTGGTCCGACCTGAAGCCGGAAGCCATTTCTGATATTCTGGACAGCCGTGGCGTGCAGGGCGTCGACAACATGAAAGATAAGGACCTCCTTTTAATTTCAGCCATGGAGCTTGTCGATTTCCATTCCCTGGAGGATGCTGCACAAGCACGCAGCCTTCACTGGCTCAACTCCCTCGCCGAAGCCAGACCATTCGTCTTCACGAGCCTGTAAGCCCACCGCGGTAGACTTTGTTGTCATAATCACGCTAACATTCATGTAGATGTGGGGCCTTACCGTCCGTTTTGGACGATGTGCTGCTGCACAGCCAGGAATCGGCGGCCTTAGAAGCTGCTCATGTACTACTTCGAACGCTTGCGTCCGATCAGAAATATGCCCAAGCAATGGGCTCCATGCAGTCATTAAATAGCCAGCTTACTGAAATGGGATTTGGCGGGTTGTGGAAAATACCCAAACAGAGTACAGTAGAGGATGCAAAGGGGGAATGTTTTGAGCTTACGGAAAAGCTGATCGAGGTAGGATGAAGACAGGCCGCAACCTTCTACAGCAAAGCTAACCTCATCGCAGCTCATTGTTATGTGATCGAAGTGTACATACTGTTAATCAGGCGACTGTGGAGCTTGTATCCTGGTCTTTATTTACACATGGTCCATAATGCATTAGCGACCGTCATGAAATTTTCAAAAAGAATCCAGCCACTGAAGCCGTGAACAGTCGTATGTATTTGCCCTGATCACCAACTTTCGAACCCAGATTTCTTCATTTTGCCGGGGGTTGGAGGTGAATCACGCTAGCCGACATCGGCTCCCACATACCAGCCTTAATCAACCACAATTGACAATTTAAAAATGGGGCTCCAGCCCACTGGGTAGTTGATGGGTTTGTCCGATTGAGTTCCGTCCACGCTGTCGTAAATCACCACCGAAAATACCCTCGAATCCATCATTGACTCTGTCCTACTCATTACCAGCCCCTAACCATCGCTCTCCGACAGTTAGTACTTGGACCGGCAGCAGTTGTTCAAACAGCTGCGCTTGTCGTCGCATCAAAATGTCGACTGTCGATATGGGCTCTCCCCAAAAGATATCTATCCTCGGCCAGGATAGCATTGTCGCGGATTATGGCCTGTGGCCGGAATTCATAGCCACTGATCTAGTCAATCACGTGCAATCGTCGACTTATGTTCTTATCACCGATACAAACCTTCACGACATATATGTGCCGCCTTTCCAAGCCTGGTTCCAATCCCAACAGCTAGCCGACAACGCCAGGTTGCTCACGTACGCCATCCCGCCCGGTGAAGCATCGAAAAGTCGAGAGACGAAAGCCGAGATCGAAGATTGGATGTTGTCCCAAAAATGTACCAGAGATACTGTCATAATTGCTCTAGGAGGCGGCGTCATAGGCGACATGATTGGCTACGTAGCTGCTACATTTATGAGAGGAGTTCGATTTGTCCAAGTCCCAACTACCCTATTGGCCATGGTAGATTCGTCAATTGGCGGCAAAACAGCAATCGATACTCCAATGGGGAAGAATCTGGTTGGTGCATTCTGGCAGCCAAAAAGAATATACATCGATCTGGCCTTTATGAAGACTCTTCCTGTTCGTGAATTCATCAATGGAATGGCTGAGGTGATCAAGACGGCAGCCATTTGGAACGAGGATGAATTCACCATATTGGAACAATCTGCTGCGGATATCCTGGCATGCGTCCGGTCCAAGGGCTTGGACCGCCTGCTCCCCATCAAAGATACTCTCACGCGTATTGTGGTCGGGTCTGCACGGGTGAAGGCAGAGGTTGTATCCGCTGACGAGCGAGAAGGAGGCCTGAGAAACCTGCTCAATTTTGGGCATTCCATTGGCCACGCAATCGAGGCTATTTTGACACCCCAGCTTCTCCACGGCGAGGCCGTTGCAATTGGCATGGTCAAAGAAGCTGAACTGGCCCGTTTTCTTGGTATCTTGCGACCCCACGCAGTGTCGAGATTATCTAAATGCATTGCTTCATATGGGCTACCTACATCGCTTAAGGACAAGAGAGTGATGAAACTTACAGCGGGGAAAGAGTGCCGCATCGATACACTTCTGGAAAAGATGTCGGTGGACAAGAAAAACGACGGTGATCGAAAGAAGATTGTCTTGCTGTCACAAATAGGGCGGACATTTGAGCCCAAAGCCAGTGTTGTGGCTGATTCAGACATCAGAACAATTCTCTCCGCTTCAATCCGCGTTACGCCTGGCATGCCTAACGGCCTGAAGGTTACCGTGACACCTCCTGGATCTAAGAGTATTTCTAACCGGGCGCTTATTCTCGCTGCTTTAGGTTCCGGTCCTTGCAAAATCAAAAATCTTCTACACTCTGATGACACCGAGTTTATGTTGTCGGCCATTAAACAACTTGGCGGGGCTTCTTATTCCTGGCATGATGCTGGAGAAATCCTCGAGGTGACAGGAAATGGCGGTAAGCTGAGTGCCAGCAGAGAGGACCTGTACATCGGCAATGCTGGCACCGCGTCCCGATTCCTTACGACTGTCCTGACATTGTGTTCTTCAACACAGGGCTCAAATTCGACTGTCTTGACAGGCAACGCCAGAATGAAGGTGCGGCCAATTGGGCCGCTGGTAGATGCCTTGCGCCAGAACGGCGCTCAGATCGAATACCTAGAGCAGGAGAAAAGCTTGCCTATTCGAGTTCATTCCACAGGAGGATTCCAAGGCGGCATGATCGAATTGGCTGCAACAGTATCCTCTCAGTATGTTTCATCCATCCTTATGGCAGCTCCTTATGCCAAAAGTCCTGTTACTCTGCGCCTTGTTGGCGGAAAACCTATCTCACAACCATACATCGATATGACCATCTCGATGATGAGCAGTTTTGGAATATCTGTTACGAAGTCTACAACAGATATGGACACGTATCACATCCCGCTGGGTGCGTATAAAAACCCTTCGGATTATATTATCGAGAGCGACGCCAGCTCTGCCACGTACCCACTAGCTGTCGCAGCCATCACGGGGACTACTTGTACGATTCCAAACATTGGATCAGTTTCTCTCCAAGGGGATGCCAGGTTTGCGATAGATGTCCTGCGACCGATGGGCTGCTCCGTCCAACAAGACGAGCACAGTACGACGGTTACTGGCCCGATTACTGGACAGCTGAAGCCACTGCCACAGGTGGACATGGAGCCAATGACGGATGCATTCCTAACTGCCTCAGTCCTGGCTGCAGTTGCAAATGGCGAAACCCAAATCACAGGAATTGCCAACCAACGTGTTAAAGAATGCAACAGAATTGCGGCAATGAAGGAGCAACTGGCTAAATTCGGCATCACGTGCACCGAACTGGACGATGGGATTAAAATTTCGGGCAAGTCGTTATCTGATATACAGACCCCCAATGTTGGCATTCACTGCTACGACGATCATCGCGTTGCCATGAGCCTTAGTGTGCTCTCTGTCGTGGCTCCTGGGTCGACCATTATCACTGAAAGGGAATGTGTTGGCAAGACCTGGCCCGGATGGTGGGATACGCTTGCACAATCTTTTAAAGTCAAATTAGACGGCTCCGATATTACAGATAGCACTAGCGGTGTCAAGCATGCCTCTACTCGGAGGCTTCACGCCAAGCGCTCCGTCTTTGTTATTGGTATGAGGGGTGCTGGGAAGACCACGGCCGGCCGATGGATGGCCAAATTACTTGACTGGAAGTTTATCGACCTGGATGAAGAGCTTGAACATCGCTCGGGCAAGACCATACCAGAGATTATCAACAGTCCCAAAGGGTGGGATGGCTTTCGCCAAGATGAACTAGATCTGCTACAAGACGTAGCCGAGAACATGCCCGAGTGCCATGTTTTATCCTGTGGAGGCGGAATTGTGGAGATGCCCAAGGCGAGAGAGTTGCTACAGAACTATTGTAACAGTGGCGGCATGGTAGTTCTCGTTCATCGAAATATAGATCAGGTCATCGAATATCTGATGAGAGACACCACTCGGCCAGCATACACAACAGAAATACGTCAGGTTTATGAGCGCCGCAAAGCCTGGTACGAGGTGTGCTGCAACCATATCTATTACAGTCCTCATTCGGCGCCCAACACTGAGTCTAACAGCATACCGGATGACTTCAAGAGATTCATAACATCTATTACTGTTGGGAATAGTTGTGTGAAAAATATTGCCAAGAAGGATGAAAGCTTTTTTGTATCCTTAACTGTTCCCAAACTGAACGAAAACTTGCACGCGATCAGCAGTGCTAGTGTCGGGTCAGATGCGATTGAGATTCGAGTCGATCTCCTAGATAACTGGTCTCTTGAAGCGGTGACAGAGCAGCTTTCATTGCTACGATTTGTTTCAAAACTACCCATCATATTTACTGTCAGAACAGTTTCACAAGGTGGACGATTTCCAGATGCGGCCAATGATCACCGACATGACCTGTATCGGCTGGCGTTGAGACTTGGCGTGGAATATCTTGATGTCGAAGTCACATCCAGCGATGAAATCCTTCAGGAATTGACAGAGACCCGAAGAAACACTCTCATTGTCAGTTCTCACCATGACCCTGCTGGATCTTTGTCCTGGAAAAATGCGTCGTGGATTCCGTTTTACAATCGAGCCCTGCAATACGGGAATGTGATAAAGCTAGTTGGCAATGCCAAGAGTATCGAAGACAATTTCGATTTAGCGAATTTTAAGTCAAGGATGATGGCTGATCACAAAACACCAATTATCGCCATCAACATGGGCGCTGCGGGTCAATTAAGTCGAATTCTGAACGGATTCTTGACACCGGTATCGCACCCGGATTTGCCCTACAAGGCAGCGCCAGGTCAACTGTCGGCCGCTGAGATCCGTCAAGGTCGTGCACTCCTTGGTCAGATCAAAAAGCGAGAATTCTATCTCTTTGGGAGTCCCATTTCTCAGTCTAGGTCACCAGCCCTCCACAACACTCTCTTCGGCATCACCGGACTACCACACGAATATCATCTCCATGAAACCAGTTCGACTGAGAACCTTGATGAAGTCCTTCATAGCGAAAGTTTCGGAGGCGCTTCTGTTACTATCCCCCTGAAGAGAGACGTAATAGCGTTGGTTGATGAGCTAACACCAGCAGCGCAGACGATTGGGGCCGTTAATACTATCATTCCTCTCAATCACGACATTCCATCAAACAAACGTCGTCTTTTGGGCGACAACACCGACTGGAAGGGCATGGTTTATACGTTATCGGAGGCAGGTGTTATCAACCCTATAAAGAATGAGTCAGCAGCTGTCATAGGGTCCGGAGGCACAACACGTGCAGCAATCTATGCTTTGCATTTTATGGGATTTGAAACCATTTATGTCGTCGGACGTGATGCACATAAAGTCAACACACTGGCGTCGGAATTTCCTAGGGACTATAACGTCAATGCAATCACAGAACCGGCTCAGGCGGCTGATTTCACTCATTCTCCTTCGGTCATCATCAGCACCATTCCTGCGGATCAGCCAATTGACAATGGAGTTAAAGACGTTGTGTTCACCCTCCTGTCACTGTCCGCCGTATCCAGAGTGAAACGTGTCCTTTTGGAAATGGCTTATAAGCCTCATCATACCCAAATCGTGCAAATGGCCGAGAGTATTGGCACATGGGCCGTTATCCCCGGGCTTGAAGTTCTTGCATCGCAAGGTTGGTATCAGGTATGTATATATGAATATTCTAACCTCGTATTCTTGCATTCCGCTATGCTCTTTTGTCTTTATACTAATACGCTCCTACAGTTTGAGGCATGGACCGGCATTCAGCCCTTGTATCATCGAGCAAGAGATGCCGTTGTTGGAAGTACCTCTTAAAGGTGATGCAAGAGCACTATTTGTTCAGCAAGATCCATGAAGAGGACAGCTATTCAAAATACGAAAAAAAACAACTTAAAAAAACTTTATAACAATTGGGTTCAGTCCTTCGAGTGCGGTATATATATATGTTATTATTCGTTTTTATGGTAATTAGATATTACCTGATACTAGTAAACTATTCGTGTAGTGTGCAAATTCAATACTCTTTTTACATTCCTTTGGAACTCTATATAGTCAGATAAGCAGTATTACAATTTGAGTACGCCGCTCCCGGGTATTTACTGTCCTCCAAATATGAATAACCACCTTGCCAAAAGCCATTTTTGTTGTTTATATCCTATTAAGCTATAATACATAATTATTCCATATATTCCCAATCAACTTCCACGCCAAAGTTCAATGCGCTATATGATGCGAAACAAAATGATGTACGCTTTCCATTAGGTCCAGCCTTGCATCCATATAACGATATCATCAATACATTTCATTGACACGTTATAAAACTTAGAAGAAAAAAAGAAAGAAAAAAAGTCTCGCTTAGCAGTCACGCATCCATTCCGGCGCGATCAAAGTGGAACAGCGAAAAACTGAAAAGTGCCGTGGCCGCGGTTGCAAGGACAGCCACAGTCATCTCGCATAGTGAGTCATCCCAAACCGGATCTGGTGAGCGTGATGACGTTTTATTAATCCATTATTGATCAAAATGCCCTGACCTGGACCCCACGATGTAGTGCCGTTTCTGGACAACCTCGAATCTCCGTTCTCCCTTGGTTGCTGGAACTTTGTTCCACCTCGAGCAAGCTTGGATTGTGATGTCAGTCGGTGTGTGGCGACGTCGCATAGTGACGTCAGTGGGGCATATTTGCAAGGTAAGAACAGGACCCTGCAGCACCATCGCAGACCCCTGGAGCCCCACACGATGCTTCAGGATTGGCCATTTGCGTAACGGTAGAGATGATCGATCTGTTGGATTACACACGAAACATCCCAAATCGGTTCCTAACACGTCATAGCACAGCCAAATTCCGATTCCACGTCGTATCTTGTTTTGCAGCTTGTCTCCCAGCTTGGGCACCAAAGAGGTTCGTCAAACTACGGTTTTTTCTCACCCGCAGAGTATCGGTGTCATTGTGGCCGCACATTGCCGTCATTTGAAACCTAGAGCGATCCCTGTGCGTCGCTCAGCTTCACCCACGACGGCGACTCTTTCCAGGCAATTCCATGTCGGGATGACACACGCGATAATGCCTTGTTAATGCATCCGCCCTGCTGAAAGTCTTTTCTTCAGTGCACAGATTGCAGCGCACCTTCTGCTTGCGCGCATTATGAATAGTGTCTTCGTGTCTGGTGAGATCATAGGGCCTGGAGAACACGGTGTTGCATGGCTTCCCCGTGCTAGGGTTGATTCGGTCGCATCTGTGAGGTCCTGCTTGTGTATTAAGCAAGCCGGAAGCCATACCCATGTCCTGAACTCGGGGCGCCCCTAAGCCCTGAGTCTGCCGATGGCCTTCCCGTTTATGCTTCTGAAGTAATGTTGGCGTCTCGAACCTCAGCGTACATCCGTGATAGGTGCAGGTATACGTTCCGCCTTCGGCTCCTCTGCTTGTCGGCCTAGTGCGAGGAGCAGGCGTATTACCTCCGGACACAACGGAGCTGGCCCCAGATGAACTCAGCCTAGGTGGAGTGTCGTGACTGGTTGCAGGACGAGCTATAAATGGATATTGCTGAGGTACCTGGATTCCCGTAGGCACCTGTGAAGGTAGATACCCAAATTGATCATTCTGATGTAGACTTCCCATATTCTGCCCAATGTATGATTCATTGTGGTCTGAAGAAGGCGCTGTCTTTGACAATGTATCAATTTCAAAGCCAGAAGAATTTTGAGGAAAGAGGGGGAACAAGCCATCTGCTTCTGATTCATTAAATTCCAAGACAGCGTCCTTTGGAGAAATGGTCTTCGGCGTCTCAGGTTCACCGGCATTCTCCAAGTGAGCAAGCGGTTGCTGAATTTGTTGATCATATTCTCTAGAAGGAGGCTGAGAACAGTTAAATTGATGGCTAGACGAAGTCGCGAATGGCGATCCTGTTCGAAACGGCGATCGGGCGCGGGAAGTTGTAGATGCTGGCGAGTGGGCAGCACTCAAGTGCTGGTGGTTCGCGGCATTGATACGCTGACTGAATACGTCGCTGCCAACTGAGGTGACAGAGTGTGGCTGAGGGGAAGAGGTGGCCGTGATTGTGAAGTTGGGGTTGTAGAGTTCATCTCCGTACACATCTGTCATGGTTCGGTCGAGCTTGGGAATGTGACCGTAGTCTAGAAAGTTCGAGGCCAAGTCAGAAGCCGCCGGATATGACAGATCTGGGGTCATTGGAGTCTTACCATTCTTTCTGCGGGATGATTTCTGGTCCAATTCACCTATAGCCGGAGTTGCGGGAGAATCTCCTGCAACAGAACTAGCTACGGACGCTGGATGAGATCTGTTGTATGCCCCAGCCAGCTCTGGAGCGGATAAAAGTCCCTTATCCATGCGCGGTCTCTTTCCTGGTCCTGATACCGTAACTGGATATGCCATTTCAGCTATTGTACCATCCATACCGTGGTATGTTGGGTAAGGGGTAGGTCCCATCGATTTGGCGAGGTGGTAGTAGGAGCTGGGCTGGTTGTTTGTAAGGTCTTGAGAGTTCATTTCAGCAAGTCCCTCAAAAGTCGAGTCCGTAAAGGCGATTTGAGGATTCGATGTATTCTGGGTGTACGGTGACGCAGGGCCAGTCGACCCAAGTGATGATAAAGACGACTCTCTTTGGTGAGAAAAGCGTCCGATCTTGGGAGTCAGCTGGGCGAGGCCGCCCCAACTATCTGACTGCATGGGATGCGTCAGACAGTCGTGGAAGGGTTGAAGAGAATCCTCGTTTCCCTGAAATACCAGTTGCCTTTCTAAATCGGAATCGAGAGCTGGGATATCGTTGAGCAACTCTTCCTCGTCTCGATACTGGTGTGAGTTATGAAGGTGGGAAGGTTGCTGCCAGTTGTGTTTCTGAGCGTGAAAATCGTCTGTGCTGGAAATGGGTAAAGATATCATCATGATACCAATGTGGGTATGGTAAAGAGAAGATTATGTATATGGATTTATGACGGTGGCAAATGCGATGACTGCCACTTTATAAGCTGGCAGACTGGCCGGGAGAACCGAGTATGCGGAAACGTCACAGCAGCCCTCGACCAGGGTGTGTGGCTTGATTGCGGGTGTGGGTGTGGGTCCCCCGAATGTACCGGGAGGACTGACTGTGCAGGACGGGAGCACAATGTCCACAAGCCGTCTCCACCCGCAAGGATAAGTGGGCTGGCCAAGCTGGCGCATCGGGCATGTCGTTAGTGGGCGACTGGTAGGCGTGAGGTAGCCTACAGCCAGGCCAAGAAGCGGCAGGAAGGGTCTGGCACTTACCTGCCTGCAGTTACCAATCGAACGCAGAAAAGGAAAGAAGAAAAAGAGGCCTATTGTAACACGCTAGTTCCCTCGTGTCCCAGAGACAACAGTCCCGGTTCTTGACCGACAAGCTATGGACAGACTGGTCTTTATCACTTCAGCGTGCCTTGCCAGACAAACTAGTGGCTCTGCTTTGCGTTTACTCCATCAATATGCCAGATGCTCCTTGCGACTTCGGCCGCCTTCCGCGTGATTCGGCGTTCGCCAACGACAGCCTTCCTCCATAACATCACTGGGACTTCACAAGATTGATGTGTCCAGTCGTCCGAAGCTTGAACAACACCGAGGTAACAACACTGAGGTACGCCGTATGGACAGAGCGCGAAGAGGTAACAAGGTCTCTAGCAGCCCACTGACGATGGTTCCCGAAAACACAAATCCACCTTGTGGTACTCCACACATTGCGATTTTGACAGTGGGAGTACTAGACAAGTCCACACTCTCTGACCCTTAAACGGAACGAGTGGCAACCACATCTCCTAGGTCCCCGGAGACAGTGACGTCTTGAGCAGCGTCGATCCAGAGCCACATGTACATACCTCACTAGGTACGGAGTATTCCTGGGGTCGCTACGGAGTACGGGCTTCTGAACCCAAGAATTGCCCAGCGCATCAACCAAGAACATCCTTGCCCAGCGCAATAGATGGAATACTCCGTACTCCGTACGGGGGACGTAACCTTACACTTGCATGCACCTTTCGCTTCTCACCATCGCCAAGCTTTTTTTTTTTTCGTCTAGATTGCACAGCCACGTATTCTAACTGGTTCCGCCACGATCCGCGTTGTGCCACATACTTATCACATGACCATCTAGGTGAAGGCTTGGTCATTCCACGCTTCGTAATCAGTCATGCAAGCATCCGGTAAAGCGATGCCAAGCTCTCCCTCCATGACAAATGACATACAACACGTTCATTGGTAGTATCGACATTACTACGACCATCCATGGTAGTTGTGATCCGGACTTAGCGGCTGCTCGAGTTTTGCATCTGCAAAGTGTTGAGACTGCGTTGGCACCGGCGGAACTGCTTAGTACGATTTTGGGATGTGGGAGGATTAGATCCTCATTCTCGAAGCGAGGAGAGCTGCTGTGCTTGAGTCTAGGCTACAGGATTTTGCACTCAAGCTGGCTGGGGCTTCGACTCGGGTAGAGTGCAGCGGGATAATCCGAATAACGGAAATATCGAGAATGCGTGGTCGGGGCGCCGTTGGGAGCTAGCAGAAACAATGTGCAGGAACCACTCCGGCAAAATTTTTCTGCTGCATATAAAATTTTTGTTTTCCTCAGCTGTTGCTGCTTCCTGTAACTATCGAGTGAACTGGTGCTCGAAAGCTTCGGCCTGGCCGAGACGGAGGTGTGTAGGTGCTAGTCTTCGCCTGTTTTCCCTCATGGCACAAAGCCCTCCTGGCTGCCCCCAGTGCCGGCATCTGCCGGTTTTTTTGGTGCTGCACATGTGCCAAAAACCTAAAGCTAGCCCTCTGCAGTATCACAGCCACGAATTCCAGCCCCAGCTGCTGCAAGGGACTCGGCGTTTCTGCTTCTAGATCTCCAGGCTTACTTGACCCCTTCCAAATAAATGTCTGGAAGACTTCACCAGCCTCGGCACAATCGTTCGCGGCCGGAGGTGGCCGTCCGGATGATCTGAATCCGCGCGCGACACCGTATTACCGCTAAGTCTAGATCTGTGAGGTGTCTGGGCCCCAGCCTGCCCAGCCGCACGCTATCATGAAAGTAATTATGCAGAAACCTACGTCGAATTCCAGTAAAGATTTATTGCCTGTATGTTCTTCATGTTAACAAATGCAATATCTTCAAGGGTTTTTCATGAAAGGTCCCCTATGCGTCGCAGCATAGTAACTCACTGCATCATTCGCGCATCTCCCGCTCGATTCGACACATGGGCATCACATGGCAAAAGAGGGCATCTTATAATAAGAAAGAAACATGCTTCTTCCGCTATAGCGCCGCCATAGCGGGATTGCCGGACGGTGAAAACACACCAGCATACACGCCTAGTAGTCGCAAACCAAAGCCACCGGACAGATCCAGGCCAATCCCAGATTCCCCAAGGTTTCACCACCCCCTTTCACAGGTTCGTTGCACCTTCGTCAGGTGAGATGAAAACTTAGCTTGTATATGACTGTGCTGTGGGTAACGGCCACTTTGACGCTCAGCTATGTTGTCTTGCGAGGCATCACAGCTGAGTGACACACACATGCAGATGTGCAGGCTGTACGGAGTACTGTGTCTGGTCCGGGGTCTCCCAGACTACCCCTCCAATGTCAACTAGAAGTACCAGACTACGTACTACTACTAGTCCTAGTGCTACCAAGTTCCTGGCTTGCTGCACGCAGTGTCGGCCCAACAGAACGGCTCAGCCCCATTGCCAAACATCGATCTAAATTTAGGACTGTGTTTAAGCTGCAACCGGGCTGCCCAGTCGGTATGATCATAATCAATTCGCCTGTGAGTACTCCGTAATCACAACAGCACATAAATTTTTCGCTATTCTAGCTTCGTCCGCATCGAGGACTGTATGTGCACATCTGAGGTAATGCGCTGATTCAATCGAGGATGACAATATTACAAAGGTCCAGACCGGCGAATAATGGGTCCGGTGATCCAAATTCTTCACAGTACTACTTCATCTCCTCCGCCAGGGCTGGTTCCTTGGCAAGAGATTGCTTTGGACCAACACGTGAAAGTGCAGTTATACAAGGACAAACGTCTGGAATAACCTGCCCAGGTGGGAATCAGATATAATCTGCCAGGAAGGAAAAGTCACCCAGTTGGAAAAATATGTCATGATGGTATTCATTCGTCTAATCCCCGCCATTAGGAAAGTCAAGGTTCAGTTACCATTGTACAATCGTCTACCCAGAGATTTATGTGCTCCCAGTGGATAATGTCATGGTTACCGGCACCGGACATAGTGTCGTTGCAAAACGGTGGCCCACGCGACACTTAGACCAGCGTGCGACAGTGGCGATGACTGGAGACTCGTTGCTCGCAGTGTATACTATGCAAGACAACAGGTGCCGCCGAAACGGCATTGTTCCATCTTCTAATGCCTGTATATGGCAGTGTCACACTAATCGGTGGGCTGATCGGTATGGTGCTGGCGCGGATGGGTTCTTGTGGAATATCGTCAAATAGACAAATTCAATTACCCCGCAGTTGTGTAGGCTACCCTATCCCTTGTATGATACAAAACACCCGTAAAAAAAAACCGAATTCCATGGTCATAAAACACCCTGCCTGACCCTGTGCAGTGATCCTATGCACCAAGGGCTATCAAATAAATCGTAACGTACATGAGACACACTCTCGCTTAACCGCCGAAACCGTATAGTGTACGACCCTGTCTCTTCAGAGCATACACGACGTCCAGTGATGTAACCGTCTTCCTCTTGGCGTGTTCGGTGTATGTGACGGCGTCCCTGATGACGCCTTCCAGGAAGGTCTTAAGGACGGTGCGCGTCTCTTCGTATATCATGGCAGAGATACGCTTGACACCACCACGGCGGGCAAGACGTCGGATGGCGGGCTTGGTAATGCCTTGGATGTTGTCACGAAGAATCTTGCGGTGACGCTTGGCACCACCCTTGCCGAGGCCTTTGCCGCCCTTGCCGCCTGTTATACTTGATTAGTTGACTGCCTGCCTGTTCCAGTTGAGTAGAATTTACATACGTCCAGTCATTATTGCTGTTGTAAAGGGGTGTAGTGATTGAGCGGGGGGGTTGTATAGTATGGTGGAAGTGGATTCGGCGTTCTGAGTTGTAGATAGGAATTGTCAAGGTGGAAAGAGGATGAAGGTGGCAGCAGGCGAGCTTAAGTACAGGTGGGCCAATCCTCAGATCAGTTGGGACTGATGTGGGAAGACGCGACTCTCTGGCATTGTGGAACTGGGACAAGAGTGCGGACAGGGGTAAGGACATGTGCTCGAGCAAAATAATGCCCAAATAAAATACTACGTACAATAATAAGCCACAGCCATCAACGAATCAAAATGTTAGAAAAATGTGTAGCGCCTAGTGTCCACTGTGGGTCTGTCGCGTACTCTTGGAATTCCGTGCTGGGAAATCGTACCGTCCGTTGAGATCTTGCTGTCCGTCACTGGTTATTGAATGGGCAAGACCTTTGTTTAACGTGCATGGTATCTGAGGCATTAGGTTGTCGCGAGCAATACTAGTAACTCCCAACTATACTTAGCTGTGTGCGTGAGGATTATTCTTGTCGCAGGTACGCATTGGTATTTGGTCCGACCCCCAGGCTGGAGGCGTAGCCTGTATTGCTCTTTGATGTCATAGCTTTGTATGTTATTGGTTCTTTATCTTTTCCAGACCTATCCAAATAACCATGCAATCATTGTATCGAGTTGGCCCTGTGACTGTAACGCGATATGCGTGGCCGTACCCAACCCAGATAACCACAACAGACCATGTAATCACTGTGAACACATCGCGATGCGTCAGATGCTACGTAGCGATGTCTTTGTATGTAGCTCACAAATCCTTGTATCGGCCCAATGTGTGCGTTATTGATTCCTTATGTGGCATGACAACTATGTCCGGCTTTGTTTGGGCCTTGAATC